CTATAATGTTAAATTAAAAAGAGTAAGGTGATCTACACTCACAGAAACATGAAAACTGTACTGAATACAAAATATTTCAAAAAAGAACAGGCCCTGATTTTTTTTCTTTTTCTACTCTTCTACATTCCCACATTGTCACATTGTATTAAAATGTGTTATGTTTATAATGAAAAATGTAGTTTTAAGTCTCTCTCTCCTCTCTCTCTCTCTCTCTCTCTCTCTCTCTCTCTCTCTCTCCCTGTCTGTCTGTCTGCTGTCTGTCTCTCCACCCCACCTTGAAAAGGCTTTGAGTATAGGACAGGGAGCCAGGAGTCCAAATGCAATATTAAATAACTTGTGCTTTTGTTAAATCATTTTCCCTCCCTGGGTCTCTATTCCTTCATGAATATAGTCAGGGACTGACAAGATGTCCTTCAAGACCTTTCCAATTTTACTCTTCAGGTTTTTATAGCCAGAATCCTAGGGTCACATGAACTGCCTAGAGTTTGCCAACTAAAGGTTACAGTAGGATATTGAGCTCTCCAGTCTTAAGAGCCATCAACTGGTCGAATCTTTCTAGTTTTCCCGTAATGAGATTATATATTGTTTGTATCATGAAAAATATCATAAAAAACAATGTACATGTCCCTGGATCTAGGGCACTGTTAGAATGGATAAGGTAAATGTAAAAAGAAAACCTGAATAAATCCTCCAATAAGATTTTGAGTGGAAAAAACTAGTTATAATAATAGAATACATATATTATATTATTTATATAAATTTTAAAAACACATAGAACCAAAAAGTATAAAGAGAAAATGGAAGAACACATTCCAAATCATCTTAGTACTTGCCTCTTGAAATGGAGGGAACGAATCAGGTTGAAATGAGGGACGATTTTAACTTATCTGTGATGTTTCATAGCTCCCACTGGACAAATAAACTGAAACCAATCTTTACATTTAAAATGTTAACAATTTGTCAATTCTAAGTAGAGATCCAGATGTGAGCCAAATACTGTGAGGGAGTAAATTTAGAGAACAGCACTTGCTACATTTCTATTCTCAGAGCTCTTCAATAATTGTCTAGTTAACCAAAATAAACAAATAAATAAATTTTAAAATAAAAATGTTAGATTATTTATTTCTTTTCTATATTTTTCCAAGGTTTCTGAAATGTTGATGAATTTTTTTTTCAATCCTCAGGATCAAACCCAAGACTTGTGCACGCTAGGCAAGTGTTCTATCACTGAACCATACCCTAGCCTTCAAGGACTATTTTGATGAATGATAAATGAATTAAACCTTAATATTAGGGAAACAGAAAAGAGAAAAAAGAAAGAAAGGAAAGGAAATGAAAGAGTAAACAAGTGGCTGAGAAAAGATAGAGAGGTCATGGAAGCAACGAGACATTCTTGCCTCAAAGTAATTTACCAAAATTCCTGTTAGAGACCACATCCACAAATTTAATGAACAACTTTTACAAGGAGAACATTCTGGGTGTTCCAGCCTTCACCTTTCACCCTCCACATCTGTCCATTTCACTGATGTCTCAGACAAAAACTTCTAGTGAGAATACCCCAATCACCTAGCATTTCAGGGGAAAATTTTCCATCTCAGCTTTCAGAGATGCTTTTGCACTCCACAAATCACTTGCTACCATCCCTTCTTGAGCCAAATCCCCACTGATTTTCAAGATTCCTATGGGAAATATAGATCTCTGAATTTATTCCATCACAGTATTTGGTTCACAACATTTTGTAAACTATATGTCTTAATATGAAAGCCCAACACACTAAATATAAACTTTTTCATTTTTTCTCTACTACTAACTCCCAAAATAAATACCTTTCACATTTAAAAATGCCATGTTTATCCCCCAACTCTGAGGAAATACTCATTTTGGTCATTTTGCTGCATATTGATAGATCACTGAATTCATTTGCTTTTGTCAACTCTGTGTGAGCCTCCACTCATCTATTATGTTGTCTTTCATCAGCCTCTTTTCCCAGTTTTAATCTGTAGACTACTTGCCTTTTAAGGGCACCTTATGATATGGTATTTTTAAATGATTGTTCTTGTCTTCACCATTTGTCATATACAAGATGAGGTAATTGAAGTGCTGATAACAGACTTTGCTCTCTAAGGGTAACAATGAATATGGCAGGAGAATATCTGAAGTCAAACAAGATATCAGTTCTGGGAAATATCAACAGCAATGTTGAAGACCCTACTGAAAAATAAGGGAGAGTACATTGGGAAGATGGTTAGGCAGGGCAGAATGTTAAATGCAATGAGTAAGCATAGGTTACACAGGTTTGAAAAGAAGACTGTCCCTCACCTCTCTCTTCAGAGAGATCACTGTTGGGACAACCTAAGGGAAGAGATCAATGCCTAGCTTATATTCTCTCTTCATCTAATATACAATGTAGTTTTGGGCAACTCACATTAACCTCTTTAAGACTCAATTCTCTTATCTGGAAAACTTTATCATCATATTTTGAAAACTTCAGGAGAAGAAGCTTGCCTTACAGAGTCATCATTTACCTTTCTTAAGTTCAGAGGATGTTTATGAGGCCAAATGAAATAAAACATAGGCACCCTCTAAAGATAGTGGCTATAGAAATTTACTGGCAGCTTTAATATATATTGACCCTTAAATAATTGTTTCCTGAATGAATATACACCTGTACGGGTTTTTATTCTCAGTGCTACTTAATTCACTGTTGTCTGTCTCAGCTGGTAAACTCAGCAGCTATTAGCCCTATTATAATCCATTGTACCCTCTCTTATCTCAGACTTTTTTTTGCTACTTGAAGACACCCTCTACATGAGGGTCTGTAAATCACAGCTCCACTCAATATTCTCCTTTGATCCCCACTGTGTCACTGTATCATGTGACACCAAGCATATCAGTACCATAGGTAAATGACATGGAGCAGGAGTCCTCCATGGGTTATTGAGACTGGAATAAGAGCAATCCATATATCAGATAAAGGCTAAAGTCCAAGGATAGTCCAAAGGATAAAATATGAAGCATATGTATGAACACATATTTTCCCTTGAAATCATAGTGTGCCAAAAGAGCCTCTCATTTCAAAATATAATTTAAAGTGATATTGTCTAGTATATAGCTTGAATATACTAGGCAGGCTATAGATTCCTTAATTTAATAAGCCAATTTTTCAAAAAACAAAGAAATTGGTTTCTTGGTGTCAGCTGCACCCATTTTGGTCTCCATTATCCAATGGTATTCAGTGCTAGAAGATATCAAAGTCATACTTGAGGGTAGAACAGTAGACAGAAAAATCAAAGAGAAGAAATTAATTTGCCAATTAATTTTCTTTAATTTCCAGTGGTCACTAGAAGTAATATGGTTTTAATGAATCATGAATTACTGGAGTCAGAATATCATGACATCACCACTTGATTTTTACAATATGCAAATGGGTCTTTTCATTCATGCAAGGGCTAAAGCTGAAGTACTGAAGCATTATTGAGATAAGGCAAAAAACAATGGCTTATAGAAAAAGGGTAAGACCAATTGTAAGGAAATCTGATTTCAAGTTCTGATAACACAGCTGTACCATATCCTGACCTGTGGTCAGTCAGCACAACTGACGGTCACTGTCTTCAAAAGTAAGTGGCATATTTGGAGCCATCCTGAGAAACAAAGTGGCAAATATGAACTTTGGTTGCTCTCACTTTGTCATCTCCATTATCTCTGCATAACAGACAAAAAATAGTCACTTTCTCCCCACACGTACACAAAGCAGGAGGGTTTGGGTGATCCCATGGTCTAGATTACAACACACATCTTGACCTTAGGCTAAAAAAATAACTATTTTTATATCTTAACTCCTAAATTTCTTCTATCTCAGATTAATGTGTGTTTTTGCTTAAATTCAAAGCATATGTATCTGAAAACTCACTATAGCACAGGCACAATTTCCTTTCTTTTCACCCACTTAGTCAAATGGATGTGGCTATGTAATTTATGAAACATCTTAACATGCAAAGGTTACAGATTTGGACATATATAACTTTCTATGAGAAAAGGCAATAAAACCTGCATACCATCTTACAACACACATTCAATAGACTCTTCCTTAGCCAAAAGATGTCATATACAGGCAGCTCATAATTACAAACACAAAGAAATTCGTGCACAAATACTGTAGAGTCAGTAAGAGAAAATGTAACTAAATTGCTCCAAGGAGATATCTTAAGAACACTCAATCTACATCGAGGACACGTCCACTAGTCTAAGCAAAGAGCAATGTGAGAAGACAACTGCAATTCCAGAGTACAAAGAAGCCATGAAACTCTCTGGGTCTTGGACAAAAAGTGTCAACAAATTAATATAGAACTCTACATAAAGGACAGCTCTTCCACAAATTCCCGTCTCCTGGTTGAGTACACTAGAAACCTCAAGGATTGAAATATGAAGACTATAAAAATGCAAACTAAACGCTAGATTCTACAAACTAAATAAACTCTGTTTTCACAGTGTACTCTTTTCTGTTAATATTTTCCCAATCAATGGTTACTTCATTCAAGGAGGTAAAGTTTGTTTCTATGAATTAGATAAACTAATTGCCTCACACCCCAATAAAGAAAATTTTCCCTCTACCCAAATTGACTGGTGCCAGAATCTACAACAAAACACTCCATTTCTCTTATCAGGATTGAGAGGAAGGATTTCATTAATACTATGAATACCAACTCTATTCTGCTAGATCCACACCAGCCAAATTTCCTGTGTCCATATTTTTCTAGACTACATAGCACCTCTGGTCTCATCATTGGACCTCAGATCCAGTAAACAGGTCACTGTATTACCTGTGTCACAGAATTTAACCCCAATCTTTATTCTTGTACAGAACATTACTGCTTTTTCAACTCCCCATCTTTCCTTTAACAGTCATTTAAAATGTTATGCATAAGTGTTATTCAATATGGTAGCAATTAATCATATGTGGCTACCATACATTTGAAATGTGGCTGAAATTCAACTCTCACCCAGCAGTAATGAGAAGTCTTGCCCTCCAGGTGTCAAGGAGGCTGAATGGAAAATCTTCACTTTTACTTCCACTTGGCAGTAACAAGACAGCAACTCCTTTCTCCTGCTGAAGAAATGTTAGAGAAAGTTGGCTGAAAAAAAAGGTCTAAATAAGACTGAAAGTCTCATAATATACTACAATAAGTCCAAATTTATATAAAGAAAATCAATCACTTCCCACACCAAGAACCAGAAAGATCTCAAACTGAATGAACAAGGTAATCAATAGATGCCAAAATTAAGATGATATTAGATTTATTAATGATTGAAAAACTGACATGGCAAAAATACGTCAATAAATATTAACATACTTTTGAAACAAGTGAGAAATAGAAAGTCTCATCAAAGAAATAGACCATATATAGACTAACCAAATTGCAAAGTTTAGAAATGACAAACTAGTTACTCTCAGTTCATTGAAAAAAAGTTTTGTGCTAATATCTTTTGTTTCTCCCTTGTTACAGAGAATCCTTTTTGTCAGTGTTTTGTACTCTTAGTAACTGCTTTGAAAATAATGATTTACAGTATATTAACTATTTTTATTCTCTTGTTTTGTTATGGAATTTTCATTTGTTCATGAAAGAAAAAAGAAATTACGAATATAAAATCAACACAAAGACCTTATGATATCTACAACAGAATGGAGAAAACTGAGAAAAGAATCAATTAATTTGAAGATACAATAGAAATTACAATATCTGAACAAAAAGAAAAACTCAATCGGAAAAAAATTAACAGGACCTGTAGGGCTAAAACTGTAGGGCTAAAACCAATTCTAACTTTCCTGTCATCAGAGTAAGCCTAGAACGATAGGAGAAAAAAAGTGAGAAAAGAAAAGTATTTGGAGAAATAATCACTGAAAACTTTCTCCAACTGGCTAGTGACATAAGCCTACAGATTCAAGAAGCTTACTATATCTCAAAGTAGGTAAACTAAAAGAAATCCATTTCAAACCACATCAGAATACAATTTTCAAAACCTAAAGAGAAAAAAATATATAGTAGTATAGAAATACCTTATTTACAAGGGAAGACAATTCTAATGACAGCAGATCAGCATATTTCTTAAAACCCATGAAAGCTAAAAAGAAATGGAATGATATTTTCCAAGCAACTTAAAAGATAAAAGCTGTCTACCTGTAATCCTATACCTAGTGAAAATATCCTTCAGTGATGAATGAGGAATCAAGAAATTATCAGGTGAAAGAAAAGTAAGAGAATTTGTTGCTAGCAACCGTGTTCTAATAGAATAGCGAAAAGAAGGTGTTTTAGTCACTTTCTTTGTGCAGGAATATGATACCCCACCAACAATTCAAGGAAAGAGAAAATTGCTCTGGTTAATGTTTCAGATGTTTCAATCCATGTTCTGCAGGCTTGAACATTTCTACACTCATGGCATAGTAGAGGACTGGATGGAGCAAAGCATCTCACATCATGGCAGCCGGGAAGCAAAGAGAATAAAGGAACCAAGAGGGGAGATATGCCCTTCAGGTTTGGACCCCAGTGGCCTACCTGCTTCTTCTAAGGACACTCCACCTTCTAACAGCAAGTCAGCCATAAAACACCCAGAATTACATTACCTTCCAAACGTCCAATATATGCACACATAAAGCCTTTAGTAACATCTGTTTGTAAACCAAAACAGAAGGTATCTAAACGGAGAATATATATATATATATATATATATATATATATATATATATATGAATCTTTCAATTTCAGCAAAGAAGAAAGAACAACAGAAAGAATAAAGATAAGTTTTCTTAATCATATTGAACAGTTGAAGCAAAAATTACACTTTTGGTGTAGTTCTAAATATACAGAGAGGAAATATTTAATATAATTTTATTAGAAATAGGCAAGGATAAAGTGACTTAAGAGAGGTAACGTTGTTATAATTTATTTAAAAGTATAATGCTAATACTTGTAATATGTTATATTCAGACACTCTAGAAAAGTTTCTTAAAATGTTTTCTTTAAAAACTGCAAGACTAGTTTTCAGTTTAAAACTCTAAACATACACTTAACATACAAACCAGTAATCACACTCCCACGAATTTTCCCAGAGAAATGAAATGTATTTTTACACAAAAACCTGTACAATAATGTTCATAGCAGCTTTATTTGTGTTAACAAAATACTAGAGATAACCAAAGTTTTTCTCAACAGATGAATGATTAAACAAACTGTGATGCAGTCACACTATGAAATACTGTTTGATGGTAAGAAGGAATGAAATGTTTATATACAAAACAACTTGGATGGCTCTCAGGGGTCATTATGCTGAGTAAAAAACAATTTGACAAGTTCACATATTCTCCATTTATATAACTTCTTAAAATGATGAAATTATAGATATGTAAAATAGATTAGTGATTGCAGAGGTTTGGGGTTTTTGGGAGTAAGAGTAAGTCAGACTGTAAAGACAGTGAAGAGGTAGCTCAACAGAGATCATTTGTGGTAAAAGAATAGTACTTTCTCTTGATTGTGGTGGTAGTTACATAATTATGCACGAGATAAAATCACGTATAACTACACACATCCATAGTTCCAATGTCAAGTTCATGATTTGGGTATTACACTTTAGTTACACAAGATACAAACAATAAGGACTTTGGCTAATGAATATAAAAAACCCTTCCTTTCTTTCAAATTCATGTGAATCTATAATTATTTCAAAATTTAAAAATCAATTCACTGTGGTGGGAAGATTAATATCTCTCCAAAAACGTTCATATCCTACTCCCAAAATAGGTGAATGCATTAGTTTACATGGCACAAGAAGAATTAAGGCTACCGGAAGAGTTGAGGCTGCAAGTCAACTAACTTTGAGATGAAGAGGTGGATCATATAGAATGGAAAATTTCTGGTGGCTTGTCCGTCCAAGTTAAGGGTCTGAGCAGAGGTAGATTAGGTGGATTTAGGTAGACTCTAAAAAATTGTAAGCATTTCTATAGGTGGAAAAGTGATACAGAAAAGTGAGAGTCAGAGAAAGAGATACAGTGATAGAGAAAAGATTGAAGTGATACCATGTGAGGAAGCAATCCTCCATTACATGTTTTTGATATTGGAAAGGGATAATGAGCCAAGAAATACCAACAGTGTCTAAGAGCTGGAAAAGGAAAGGGAAGAGAATCTTCACCCAGAGCCTCCATAAAAGGTAAGACTTTCCCATATCTTAATTTTGGTCCCGTGAAACCCAGTTAGACTCCTGACTTCTGACATCAACAATTGCACGATAATAAATTCATGGATGTTTTAAACCATCAAGTTTTTGGTAAATTGTTATAGCAGCCATAGTAGAAAACCAACACCACTCCTAACCAGGTAGTTAAAAACAAACCTATAAAAAATGGACAATAGCTTTTTGCAGAGTACATTCGATTCATTAGTCAGAAGCCAATAATTCTATATTACAGTCTTAAGGTAACAGTACATCATGGCAAATGCTGCTTTCAAGTCCATAGTACTGATGATAGCAATAATGAAAATCTTGCCTCAAAATTACAGAGTAAAGAAACACATTGCTCTCTATTAAATAAGGCCTGCTCAGTTAATGACAGCATAAAAACAGAAAAATTTGTGTGACAAAAGCTAGAAATCTTATCTCAATCAAGCTAGAGATATTTATTTGCCAAGGAATTTCCTGCTATGTAGAATACAATAACAGTAAAGCAATGAATTGAATTAGAAGAGGGGACAGTAAAAACAGACCCAACTAATAACAACACAAATTCCCCATAAGATGGAGAAATCCATTTTATTCTTTTCTCTGCTCCATAGTAGATACTAAGTATTTTCTGAATTGAATTATAAATAATAATTAATTAACTAAGAGCCTTAGGGTTGTATTATAAACTGCAAAACTCCAGACTGGTAAGACAAGAAGCAATAAACATTTTTTCCTTGATAGGCATCTCATATTATTATTAATCTCAAATGAAAATCACAGATGTGGCATATATTCATGTTTTCAGAGCTTACAGAGTTTTCAATTTAATATATGGTGCTAGAGCTCTAGGGTAAATTCTGTTAATTCTACAGAATGATGAATATGTCACCTCCCTCACTGACTTCATCATCATTACTAACGGATATGGCTGGGAAGAGTTCACTGTTCTTATTTTTATGAATCTTTTTGTTTTTGTGGTTTTTTTTTTTATTTTTTGCTTGTTTGTTTGTTTGGTTTTTGTACCAAGAATCAAACTCACGACCTCATATTTGTCAAGGAGTTCACTATTCTTGTCAGCACCTTGGCTAAGGGAAATATATGGAGATAGCAAGACATGAAAGAGAAGGGGCATATGATCATAAGTTGTGCTCTTTTATTAGTGAACATTGATTATACAGAATGATGTGTTTCTTTGAGGCAGTTTCATACATTCATATAAAATACTTTCATTATGTCACTTCTATTGTCCTCCCTTATCCTGTCCTTTTCTCTCTTCTTTCCTTATCCCTAATGCTCCTTCTCTTTAATAGTCTCCTTTCTCATTTCATGTCATTCCCTTTCCCCAAATTTTCACACATGAATCTAGCTTATTTCGCTTAACATAAGTGTGCTTTTATGGAGTATATTTTATATAATTAACTTGTGTGGGTGAAAGCTGAGTAAGTACCTTAAGAGAGTTGTAAGTCAAGGATTTGGGGAAACTAGGCAACTTATTTTTGATGAAAACTGTAATGTCCAAGTGAGTGCTAAGTGTCTCTTTTTTGTAACAAAAATGTCTATAAAGACAAACAAGAAAAATACTTGCAACAGTAGCTGAGGGTTGCGAACGATAAATACACTAATAACATTCTTTTTTTGAAAGAATCATTTTTATGGCTTCCATTTCAACTTACTGTAACCATGACAGCCATGCAACAAAAATTCTGTAACAACTGAGGAAAATCTTAGTGCAGAGGATTTTAACTCACAATATAGAGTTAGGCTTCCTGAAAAATGTATGCAAATACTATATATATAAATATTCAATTTTCTGAAGAGAATATCCTTGGCAGTCATTAAATTTTCACAGGCAGTCAAGTCAAAGTTAGGGACCACTGAGCCATATGGTGATGGCCTTATTTTTCTGCCCTTCTACTGAGTAAAGCAGCGTATCTTCAGAATGTGTTCCAGTTACTCAGTAACTAAAGAGTCACAGGTTTTCATTCAAACGAATCACTGAAAACTGGCCTCTGAGTTAATAAATCACATGTGAATGGAACAGCATGGCAAGTATTAGCAAGGAGGGCATAAAGAATTTAGTAGCTCTACAAGGTTTAGGTAACTACAAAGGTGAAAAAGGAAAAATAACTATTGACATGTTGACTTAAACAACTAAATGCACCTGTGAATTTCCCTTTTGAGGTTATTCTGCTGCCTGTTCACTAGGTTCTGGACAATCTCCTAAATGCTATGTATTAGTTTATGTATGGTCATGAAATATAGACTGATTTTAACATTGGGTTAAGTAAAGCTCGATTAAGAAAGAGAAGCTTGAAAATATTTACAAAGCAACTCTACATAGCTCCATGCTTTCTTTTTCCATGACTGGCCAGATTCAGCCTGTGAGCCATTGTTTCATTCATTCCCACTCTACATAAATGAAAGTCAGTGACAGATGCTTAGAACTGGAAGACAGTTTAAAAAGATCATCTTGTCTACTATGGAAAATTCAAATGCAAAATCTCATATATAAAAAAAACATGACTACATGAAATAGATCTGCCTGTGCACTTTTTAAACATATTTTCAAAAGAGAATTTATATACCCCTTATTACTACACTTTTTTCTCACAACTGCTATAAACAGAATCTTTTTTCCAAATTGAATTTTTTTTCCTGATACACTTTAAGCTTATTACCTGCTACTATTCTTTCATGAAAGTAAGGATTCTCTCCAGGATATGGATGCATCTCTTTGCGTACATGTGTATGTGCAAAATACATACATGTATTTTAGAGGACTGTCTTTCTATACAAAACTACAATTCTGTTAAACATAAAAACAATGATTTCTGAGGTTCTTCTCTAGAAACACCTCTTAGCTAGGAAAATGATGGACTTAGCTGGGTCAAGGCACTATCACACCTTCAAAGTTCATTAGTTCACAAAGTTTTGCAAAGATAACCAGTTATCCAAGTCAGGAAACATAGTTTGAAGCCACTTTTGAAGACAGATTACATTAAGGTGGTCATAGAATTTTTTCCAAACTGGGACACTTGAGAGTGAAACAAGTATGCCAGAATAAGTATAAACCACAGCATATGGTCATTCTACTTATAGACCTTCATAGAGGAAATTCTTTACTTTCTCATAAATAAAATGAATCTCTGTGCCTGTTCTTGATGGAAGATGGCTTGGTAAAAAGCCAGCATTCATCCTCCAGGCATAATCTTGGTCTCAAGTCTCAAGCAAAAGTCAGAAGCTTCTTGATTAGTTGTGTAACACTTGAAAGGGGCTACTGAAAAAGAAGCTGAAATTTTAAATAGGATTTGAGGTTTCTTGAGAAAACAATAGATAATTGTTTACATCAAAATCACCTCACTAAGGCTGGGCATGATGGCACAGTCCTGTAATCCCAGCACTCCAGAGGCTGAGGCATGCAGATCAAATATCTTTGTGAGTTCAAGGCCTGCCTAAACAATGTAACAAAACTCTGTCTCAAAAAACAAGCAAACAAAAAAATCACCTCACTGGAGATGAATAAATTATCTATTAAAGTGCCTTTTGGAAAAAGCAATACTTGTGAACACATTAATTGATCTTAAAACCTCATTTCTTTTTTCTTCCCAGAACAAGGAGGACAAAGACACTAGATCATACCTCTTATCTAGAGAAAGACTCAAAAGAGCATAGCAGGAGCCTGTGAATCACTGTGGAAAATGAGGGAGTAGAGAGAAGAAAGACAACAAAAGTCTTCATCTCTACCTGGGGCTAGTTCAGAAAAGGCTATATCATCACTAAAAGACCCTTTCCCTTAACTTTCCCACCTCTCAGAAGACCACATTTAGACCAGATTTCTCCAGTTTGTAGGCTTGCTGTTGCACAAGGTCACTGTTGGTTGAGAAGAGAAGCATGTTTTTCCAGCATACAAAGAAATTTTCTGGAAACAGAAAAGGTGTGAATTTAAAGGGCATCCTCATGTGATGTCTTCTCTAGTGATCTTTGTTTTGTTCTCAAGTGGCCCTGGAGAAGTGGCCTGAAAAATATGACAAGTTCTTTGTGCCTAACCCAATGACCTTGTGTTTGAAAAGGTACTCTGGTTGAGAAACTGTCAGGGACCCAGTGGGCAACTTTTCAGAGGAAGTAAAAGAAAGCACAACAAAATAAAAATAAAAATGTCCAAATCTGAAATCTGTAAGGTGATAACGAAGTCATACTCTTTAGTGAATCATTCATCTTTCCTATCACCCACCAACCACTTTGATTCTTCTCTCCTTTTGTTTACTGAGACCAGGACTACAAAACAATGTATAAGCCAACAGATAGAAAAATAATGTCTAAAACTGGGCTTAGAAACAGAGAAACTGAAATCAATGTTTCTTTGATTAATTCAGCCCCTCCTCTAAACAAATACTTCAGTGAGACCAATATCTCCACAGTGACCTTGTCAGGGATCCAGGAGCACATTTTTAGATGTTTTAAATCCAGTACTTACCACTTTCCTCATCTCTCTTCTCCCACCTCTTAAACACAGGCAATACCAGCACAGCTTTAGTTCTGTTTACAGATAATCAGAAGATTGTGGAAAAAAAAAGAAAAAAGAAGAAAGACTCTGAGACAAACAGAAAGCCAAACAATTTTGCACTTGTTTGACTTTGACAACAGGATGTTATTGATTTGGGGGGGGGTGTTAAAAATCATTGCTGAATTCAAGATTTATTCAATGGAAAGATTAATTTACTTAACAGAATTGACATATATCAAATTCTGCCATGTATTTACATGATTGTTACTCACTTATCAGAACTATAATTTAGGCAAATATTTATTTTAAGAATATTTTAAAAATTATTTTCTCAAGCCTATTGCAAATAATTCTTGGTTTATTTTACTTTGCTAACAACAACTATTTTGTGGAAGTATGTGAAATCTAGTTTTTTCCCCAAAACTGTATCCCTCAAGCTACTAATATCTTTAGGGTCAAAAGTCATACCATAGGGAACATTTTAAAATACAATGTCTTTTTATGATGTCATATTTTACACTTATGATTTTTTAAAGTTTCTTAATATATGTTAAAATCATAGAGCTGAACACTGTTAGCAGGCTAAAAGGGCAAAAAAGATGTAATTTTTTAATGTATATCTGTGCAGTGTTGGGAGAAGTTACATCTAGCAGAAAGCTAGCAAAAGCATTAGGTGAAATAAGAGAAAGTAAATAGAATCAACTTTTGAGTCTTACAAATTTTGTTGAATTACTCTACCCTATCTAAGCACATGTGCACCAAAGATTGTATCTTTTCAACTCGAATGTATGCAGTCTACCTAGGTCTTTTGTAAGGTAAAATATTGGCAAGTATTCCTAAGAAACAGAAATCTAATCACTAACTGCCAGAGATGGCGTGAGTTCTTCTGAATTTGCCCTGTGCAAAAACAAGAGGCTAATTTTGACCCCCAGGTCAAGGAATGTGGGCACTATGGAAGATACAAATGTATGGGTGGGAAGGAAATTTCAACCACACAAGTAAATTTTTCACCTAGAAGCAAATACGTTTTCGTTGTTACTGCTGGGTAAAATGTACAAGTCTTCCAGAAATTAGACACTGTAATAAAAATGTACCAGCCAAAATTTAAATTGCTTACTAGACAGATGGTTAATTATATTCACAGCCGCATATTTCACTGGGATAGAGTTTCAGACACTCAGCCAGTTTTGTTTGACTAGCCAGTTTCCCACTTAATATGTAAAATGACAGTTACTTAGGGCTTTTTTGTTCCTTTCTAAAAATATATTTTTAATAAGTGTAAATTATCCTCAGCCACTACAACGTCACTGCTGTAAATACAACGTTTGGTCATATGTTACCCTATGTGAAAAAGATGAGAGATTCACTCCCTCAAACCCAAATAGTCTCTAGTAGTTCAGAGAAGACCACAAGAGTACCTTTCTCAGCAAGCAAAATATTCTACGAACTGGCAGCATACTGTTTTCCACCTAAAGCAACTGAGATTTTCAAATCCCAGGGCTAAAGTCCTTTAGATCTTTTATAAAAACAGCTCTTCCAACACTCCTCTTCCCCGTAATCATGCCTTTCATATAACAGTCTAGAAAATGGAACGTTAGGAAAACGTTACATAGCGAAGTGTATTGCTGTGCACAAAATTTAACAATATACTAAGATCACCCCCTCCACAAAAAAAAAAAAAAAAAAAAAACAGACGCACAAAATGAGACCTACTATTCTAAAGTGCAGCCAAAAGCTCGACAAAAATCAAGAGTGCTAGTGCAGAAATGGGGCGAGAATATTATTTTTTTTTTTTTAACTTCGAAAAAGACAGAAAACCTTGCGCGGGTGATTCGGTCCCTCACGAATCACAGACAGAAGCAGTCATGCTGAAAACCACTGGATTCCTCTGCTGAGGAGCACCAGCTCAGCTTAAGGTTTCCCCACTTTCCTGGAGCAGGGCTCTCTTACTGGCCTCCCTATCCTATTGGGTGTATGAGACTCAAAGGACTAGTACCAGGAGGTGCGACAGCGAAAAGCACCCGAAGCCTAGCGGGAAAGCGTTAGTGCTACTGCTTTCCACAGTATGCAAGACAGTGGGTCAATTTCTGCAAAGGTGATGAGCTTAGCAAGGCTTGGTCTGGGCCCAAACCCAAACTTAGACCAGTCTGTGCGCAACGGGGATACTCTGTGGTGGTCTCGCCCCCCCAGAGAGCATGGGAGTCTCAGGCGGGAGGGGGGAGGGGAGGTACTGGTAAACCAGCTTCACACCTTTAAGGCTTTGGCTAGCCCAGGCCGCGGCCACCTGGTGGGTTTTCCCGCTTGCACTGAAGCGCAGTGCCCAGCTCCCTGGTCAGGCTCTCCTGGGCACCAACCCAAAAGAAGACAGCACTCAGCTTGTTGCAGCTGCCCTGCTGTATTCCAACGAGTGCAGTGGCTCTGGCCCGCTCTCTTCCCCTCCCCCTCTCTTCCCGCTGTAGCACTGAGGCCTTTCCTAGATTGCAGTGCTTGTCGCGGTGAGCTGGGATCTCTAGCCCTTAAGGCCTTGCTCCTTCGTATACAGACATATACATGCACACCATTCGTACACAGATGTCCTCCCTTCCGTTTTCCCTTCCTCTTCTTTTCTCTCATCTTCCCCTAGTTCGTTTCACCCCCTGCCGCCGCCACCCCAACGGGGCGGGAAGCCGGCAGGAAGGCCGGGGGCTGGGTGGCTGCGCTCATACTCACCTCACAGGCCGACTCCCTAGACACAGAACGCTAGCAGGCTCAGACACGAAGCTCTGAAGCTGGCGCAGCCACAGTCAAGGATGGGCTGCCTCGGTTGCAGCAGCTGTTCTGGTTGCGGCTGCTGCTACTGCTACTGCTGCTGCCGACGCTGCCTTCTGTGCCTCAGCTCTGTGCGTTGGGGCCGCCAGGTGGACGCGCCTGTCTCCCTGACTTGCTCCCTTAGGCTTCACTGACGCTGCTGGGTTAGATGGAATCCGAACTGCCGGGCTTTGGCTCTGAAACTCAGAGCCTTAGTGGCTTTCGGGCTGCTCCTAGGTTCCGGGCTCCCCACACTTGCTCTGGCTGGGGCTACCTCTCGAGAGGGCTACTTGCACGGTGCTCGGAGCTTGCTCTGTGTCGTGGCTGAAGGCGTCCGCGACAGGGAAACAGTGGGGCCACTGCTACTGCTATGGTCGCTGTTAAAGCTATTACTAAATGCTGCTACTGTTCTTATGCCTACTGCTATGGTGGTGGCTGCTGCTGCTGCTGCTGCTGCTGCTGCTGCTGCTGCTGCTGGTTTTCCTTGCCGGTTCTCCCCACTGCCTGATCCTCCCTCCTCTTCTCCCTCCTCCTCCCCTCCCCCTCCCTTTCCCTCTTTCTGCTTTCCTCCTCCTCCTTATCCTCTTCCTCCTCCCTCTTCTCTTTCTGCCGCTTTTCTCATAGCCTCTGCGGGCACTGCCTGCTCCCTTCTTCTCCCAGAGCTGCCCTTTCAGAAAGGTGCCCAGAGTGGGGCTGCCTCAGCTGCCACCATCACTATTGCCCCTGCCATTGTTTCCTCCAACACGGCTGTTCTTCGTGGACGCGTTCCCACTCTACCTACCTTCCCCACCACAGCCCTCCCTTTTCCTTTCCCTCTCTCCTTACCCACTCATAGGTCCCTTCCCCATGTGCCTCTCCCACTCTGTCCCTTCCTCCCTTCTCCTCTGCCTCCCGAGAGCGCGCACTGCGCGGCCACCTGTCATAAAGGGCGCGCACTCCCCTTCCCCACCCCCACCCAGTCCCCCACTAGCATTCTTCCAGCCTGCCCAGTCCACAAGCCACTGGCTCATTCTTCCCTGGCTGACTCAAAGCTTGACACCCCTCTCCCATGCCTTTGAGGGCACTTGTGTATGCAGCGAGAGGTGTTCTGAAGTTTCTGGCAGAATACCTGAATGCACATACACCTCGAATAAAGAGGAACTTGAATACAGCCAGAAAGGAAATAGGATCTACTTGACCTGACTGCTGTCACTGAAAAGTTCCTTAGGTAGTTATTGCCCTTCTCACATCCTGGGAATCCAACTGGAAGCAGAAAAAAAGTTGACAGTGACTCAGAAGAAAATATTTAGCATTCCCAAAATCCTTAGGTGTAAGTTTGGGGACTGAGTTCCACAGTCACAACCATTAAAAGGAGAAGGTTAGTGCTAGAACAAAAGGGGTAAAACTAGTTATTTCCTGTGCACTTTCTTCAGCAAGTATTGCCAAAGCCCAGCTTCTCCAGTTAGAGAGGGACAATTTTGGATCTCTCTGCTTCTACAAGTTAACAGCCTCATTTTGTTAGGCTCAGACTTTCAAATCTATTGTTTTTAACTTCTGTCACTCTCAACAGATCCTATATAGCTTTCCAACAATCTCCTCCCAGAAACAGCACAGGTGATTATGAGGCTTTTTCGCTTTCCATGACCAAGTACAGGAGACAGATGTTTCAGATATCTCATTGACAATAAGGTCAGGGTCACCTCATCAGGTCTGAGTCACTCTTCCATGAGTCTTTCATCCTTGAACCATAAAACATGTATAGGGGCACTTTCTATAGCTTCTCATCTCCTTACTTTTATGTCTGTCTTTCCACCTGCTTGAAACACTTTTGTCCTTTTGTGATTGTCCCTTTTATCTATGAAATTTTTCATGAATAATAACTCATCTGCAAACAAGACTTTGTGAGTCCTATGTACCAAACATTGTGTTAAGCAACTTCTATCCATTATTTTATAGAAAAACAGATACAATTTTATTAATCCTATTTTACAGGTTGAAAAATAGAGTCACAAATATAGATAGATATCTCACATCTGACAGGCACTTTCAAAACACAGCTACCTCTTTTTGGCATTGGGATAAATAAGAAGACAAAATCTGGCCTCTACCCTCAAAAAGGCAGAAACAAACGACTACTAAATATGTAAAATGTCACCATCTATTGGCTGGATCTTAATGACCTGAATAATTTGCTGTTTTCATTATTGGAAACTATGTTGTTTTCACCTGTAATTAACTATGTACTCTATTTTTTCATTAAAGTTATTTCCTTATTAGTTATCAGTTATAATTGTGTCAATGTCTTCCAGCCAAAGTCTACCAGGAACACAGACATGTAGCTGAACAATTTGAGACCATTATTAGTCACAGCGAGAGGGGATCCACACACAATCTCACCTATGAATGAATTGTACCCCCTTCAAATTCACATGATGAAGCTTTAACCCCTCGTACCTCAGGATGTGACTGTATTTAGAGATAGAGCCTTTAAAGAGGTGATTAAGTTATAATAAGATTAGGGTATATTCTAACCCAATCTGACTAATGACCTTAAGAGAAAATTTAGACACACAAAGAAACCCAAGAGCTCACATACAGAGCAAAGACCAAGTGAAACACAGTTAAAAGGCAGTCATCAGGCAAGCCAAAGAAAGGGAACTTCTGGAAAAACCAAACCTCCCAACACCTTGATCTTGGATTTTTAATCTCCAAAATTGTGAGAAAATATGTAAACAACTCAGTCCTTGGCATTTTGCTATGGCATCCTGGAAACTAATATATTAGGGAACCATGGAGTGTCTCAGTTTAAATGTGGTAAAAATTATTTATTATAGGATTTGTGGGATTTTATTCAGCCATTTTGTGGAGGATCTAAGGAAGTCACACTGAATGCTGTCAACGTCTTCCAGCCAAAGTCTACCAGGAGTACAGACATGTAGCTGAACAATGTGAGACCATTATTAGTCACAGTGAGAGTTCCATATTGAATGCTGTCAGAAACTAAGGGCAACTCCATGAATGAGCATTTTAATAAATCAAATCTATAGAGAGGACAGACAAAACTAGATATAAACGTTTTTGTGAACAGCACAGTGACCTTGTTTTTGTCTGTTCTTAAACAAAGTTAAGAAAAGAGTTTGCTTTGCATAGCTTTATCATGTTTGTCTGATGTTAGTGTTTTGTGAGATTGCTTATGTCTAACTGGAAAATAGCATGTTATCTGTGAGTAAGGATTTCCAAGCCAGCTTTCATGTGTCAGGAGCTGTCTTTTCTTCTTTCTAATTTGTGGCTACTTAACACTATCCATTAGCTGTATGGCTTTAGGCCAGTTATTTTACCACTCTGTACCTGACTTTCTTCATCTATAGTTGAAAAAAATGGGATTAAACATAGAGTTCTTGCAAGAATTAAACCTTTGAATGTGAGCTACTATTCATGCCTGTCTTCTCCAACAGATCATGATAACATGACGTGCATATGCTTATAGTTACGTATTAGCACTTTCTCCTGTGCTAAATTATGATGTCTTTGAGATCAAAGTCATTAGGTATAGTCAAAATATCTAAATTAACTATAGAGGGGCTTAACATTGATACTTACTATTGTTACTGTAAGAAAACTTCTAGGGCCTCTTCCCTATCTGAAAAATAGCACAAGTGTCCTATTCTGTGCACCTATAGAACCTATGTTTACTTTAATCACTAGATTTAGCATGCAGTGTTGACATTGTGTGCTTCTTCCCTTTCTAAACTGTTAACTCATGAACAGGAGAGTAAGTATTTTCAACTTTTGTGTTCACATCTGAGCACAATGCCAAGTACAATCGAACCACTCAATGTACAAATATTGATGGAATTTTGACTTCATTCTTTGCTTTGTCTAGGATGGACATAGGTCAGTTCATTCTTAAGCCCTATAATCTCTTCTTTTTTAGTGTTTTTATTTTTTTTTACTTAAAAAGGGTAACAGAGCATCTCTTATAGAGTGATCCCCTCTGTAAAACAGATCTAAAGTATGGAGAGAATCATTGTGACACTTCAGTGCAATAAACTGCCATTTGGGAACAGTTATAGGACATGCTATAGGATAAAGTGGAGTGGTAAAGAGTATTAGTCTTGGACCTAGAATCTTAAATTTTGAACATGGTCCTCAGAGCGTAACAGTAATTTTGTCATCAAAACCCATGTCACACTGACATTAATTCTTTAGACTCTTTCTACTAATGAACTATTATTTATTTTTATGCATTTGATTATATCAAACAATGAGTACTTAGCAGGGAAAAAAATCACAAAAATAAAGTTTTGAGTTTTTAACGTTTACTGTTTGTAAAATAGCATTAAAATTTTCAACATTGACTGTTTTTTGTACAAACTCAAAAGTAGTACATCAGAAATAAATTCCCATATGAACTACAATGAAAATACCAATAACACTCTATAGAAAATAATCTTTCCTTCGATTATTACACCAAACACAGTCTGCATAAATAAAAACAGCATGTTCCAAACACAAGCATTGTTTACACTGATTTTTACTTTGCTTCCTGTCCTTTTTGTAGGATATGCTTGACATTTCAGTGGTCCTACTGTTTTTTTTTCCCAGAGGTTCTTATTATATTACAGTGTGTAGCTAAAATGAATATAAAATATCAATAAAGTAAATGATTAAATTCTCAAAATGCATTGTGCATCTAGAATAGACAACATTTTCACATCAGCTGTGTACTTCATTATACAACCTGAAAGATAACATAAGAAACATCACTGATTTCCTATCATCTTGTTTTGACATCCTACAATGCTTTTATTCTTTTGTTTTAACTAGTTTTATGCTGTTGTGTTTTATTTGATTTTATTATGTATGATAGTATTGACAACTGTTTTGAAGAAAACAAGACATTATAGTAACCATAGTTCATTTCCTGTTATCTGGGTTTGAAGTCCTGTAATGCTTTAATTCTTTTGATTGGTTTTATTCTATTTTGTTTTGTTTGATTTTATTATGGGTGAAGGTATGGACAACTATTTCAAAGAAAACAAGAGACATTATGATAGCCACTGTTGATTTCCTGTTGTCTTGAAGTCCTGTGTTGCTTTTATTGTTCTGCTCTGATTTGCTTTGTTTTGTTATTTTGTTTTGTTCTTTTTAAAATAAAAAAAAAATTTTAAAAGATAAGATAAGAAATAAATTCTCTTTTTTTTTGTCTTTTTTTTTCATTTTTATCGGTACCAGGGATCAAACTCACGACTGCCTGCTTGCAAGGCAGGCACTTATGCCACTGAGCTAAATCCCCAGCCCCAAGAAATAAATTCTTATGTGAGCTATAATGAAAAACTCTTCCACAAAAAATAAAGCTTTAGTTCAACTCTCACATCCAAGGCAGTCTCCACACATACATAACAACACACATCTCCAACATAACAACATTCTATGCACACATCTCATACTTACAATGTGCACTTAGCTTTCCTGTGTGATACACTTGTTTTGTCAAGAGCTTCCTACTATATTGTACAACATGCATTTATCAGAGAAATAAGGTGTCAATGAAATAAAATATCACATATGTAATGAGTGCTTAGAATAGGCATCAACAGTTTCACACCAGCTGTTTACTTACTTACAAAACCTAAAAGATAACATCAAAAGTAAAAAACTATGTGAACTAAAGTGTAAACAAAAACAAGTCTACCACAGAAACAAGCTTTGCTTCAACTGTCAGACCCAAAACAGTACTCATACATGACAACTGCATGTTTCATATATAAATATCTCTTACACTGATATCACATTTTTTCTTGTACTTTTTTGTAGGGCAC